CACAGCGCCGAGGAGTGGCGCTACTGGACCAACCCGGCAGTACCCCAGCTGCTCTGCCCCAGGCATCCCCAAGAGCATCTGGGGCGCTGCTGGGTTGGTCTCGCCGCGCCAAGGGTCGGCACTACTGGACCAACCCGGCAGCACTCCAGCTGCTCTGCTGCAGGCGTCCCCAATTCAGCCGCTGCAGAAACTGACCAGCAGCAGCTGAATCAAGAACGCCTGGGACAGAGCCGGACTATCGGAAGGGGGGGCTATGACGGGTCTGGGGTGGCATCCCCCCTCATCCCAGACCCCTCATAGTCCCCCCTTCCGATAGTCCGGCAAATCTGATAATCCGGCACCCCCTGGGTCCTAAAGGTGCCGGATTATCGGAAGTTTACTGAACTATGATGGCAAACGCAAATGTCCAGTGCTTTGAATTATAGCAGAGTAAATTATATACTTTGTAACTAAGCATGCTTTGTAAATGTCCCATTGAAATGAAATGTCTTTTTCTGAAAATGGAAAACATCCCCATGGTTTATTTGCCAGGTGGACACTTTATAGACTACAGTATCCTGTAAATTGGCGTATTTTAACGTTATATTCCTCTATCAAAAAATCATCCCTTTACTGGCTGGTAGTGATTGGAGAAAGATGTAATATCTTGACAGCGGGGCTGACAGCCTGGGCAGACCCCTGCGCATAGCAGGGGGCGTTGGTCCATGCACCTAGAAGGGATGAGACTTCGGGGGAGAAGGACTAGGCTCTGGCTAGGCAGCACTGCCCCAGGAAAGTGCCATCCCTCTCTCAGGAAGCAATGTAAAGGTCCCAGGGCTCCGGGCTTCAGCTGCCACTGTTGCTGCATTTGTGGCACCAGCCAGGAGATCCGGGCCCTTTTTGTATTGCTGGGCCCTACAGCAGTTGCCCCCTATTGGAAGGCCTGTAACTTGGCACCAGAAAAGTAAGATATGAGTTACCAAGGGCACGTCTACACAGCAGGACTAAAGCTGAAATAAGCTTTGCATCTTGAGCTACATCAATTGTGTATCTTAAGTCAAAATAACTTATTTCAGCTTTTGGCACCATCTGTACAGCAGGAAGTCCGAGAAAGAGCACTCTTCTTCCAACTTCTCTTACTCCTTGTACAATGAGGGTTACAGGAATCAGAATAAGAAGTCCTCCAGCTCGACATTATGTCAACATTATGTTGAAATATCTCCTTGCTGTGTGGACGTAGACACAGCTGCTGTGTAAACAACAGCCTAAAAGTAGGAGAGGTTTATGAGAGAGGATGAGAAGCAACACTGACTTACTCACAGAGGCAGGATTTATTGATTGTTTGCCCCATCACTTTTTAAAGCTAGCAATATTAATATTCATCTTTCCACATTTTATATGCCTATCAAACCACTCTAAAATAGACTGTAGTACTTGGGAATTACGCAGAAAACACCAAGTGAAGTTCTTTCCAGACTTACACATTATGAATGTTCTATTTACTGTGCAAATTTCCTTCTTTTTATCACCACCTTTCCATAACAAGTTGAGTCAGAGATACACAAATCCACTGTTGCTTTATAAATGCAAACTCAATAGTCTATTTCAGTTGTCATTCTGTGTAAAATGCAAAAAAATAAAGAAGGAATGAAAAATAAATTGTCATAATTCAAGGCTTTGTTAGTAAACCATGTGAGAAAATTGATATACGATTATTACTTTTAACCTTACAGTTCCATTTAGAGTTCCAGTTTTTCATGTGAATAACACTGTTATTTGATATCCTGTCTGTTTCTCACTTTACTTCAAATGATTGGATTCCTGGCAGGATTCATTATTATTTTTTTTCTTTTACTTTCTCTTGCAGGAACTTGAATTTCAGGATCTCACTGCAGTTTTACACTGTATTCACTCCTTCATAGCAGCAAAGGTGGCATCCCTGGATCCTGTATTTATAGACAGCCAGAGCATTGCAAGAAAATACATGTACAGTAACTGAAATCCAATTATGTGTTGTGATTATTGCAAATAAATTATTTTCTTAAAGAAATGAGTTATTTCATGAACAATATTGGAATTCTGTGTGATTTTATAAGGAGCTTATAGTTGTGCTATCAATAAAAATGCTACTAGTTTTCATGTTTTGTTTAGCATTGTTAAATCTCATGAGTTAACAAATATTATTTCAAACTGAGTCCATTTGTTTTCTTTAATATTAATCTAAATCCCTGAATGAAAATGTCCATACCATAATATTGCTAATGTTATTTTGATTTTTCTCTCAGAAGTTGCATCATGAAGTAATATAGAAAAAGATTTGCCTGTTGTGTGCCTGAAGTTAGGCTCCTAATCTTTGTCATGGATTTCAAATGGGCTGAGCACATAGAAACTTCCATAGGCTTTGCTATGAAAGAAAAGGGTAAGATTTTCAAAAGTATATAAGGAAGTTAAGTGCAATGTACTTCTAATTTGCTTAGATGCTTTTGAATATATGATCCCGAGATACATATATAGGGTTCCAGAGGAACTGCTTCTTCAAAATGCTTTCTATCTTACCCTGATCCAGAAAAGTGCCTACCCACATGCTTAAGTCTGAGAACATAAGTAGTCTCAGTTAAGGGATTGTAAAGTTAAGCACATGTTTAAGTGCTTTGAGAGGTCCTGTGAAGAGTGTTAATTGCTCATGTCAGGCCAGGCCTCAGTTAGCCTAGTACCTTAGAAGATTTGAGCCCTAAATTTGGATTTAGGATCCTAATTTGAAATTCTCATTTTTGAAACCTTAGCCATGGGTTTCTTTGCTGTCTATTGACAAATGTCCTCATTACTCATTCTTCCACTCATTCATGTATAGCATGTGTGCCCCATCTTTGGTTATTCTCCTATGTAGTCATGATTAGCTTCTTAAAAAAAACTCTTTTGTTTGTGTATTGTAAGGTTTGGGGTAGATGTATCTACCCACAGACTTTTTCATCTAAAGACTGTAGGCAGGTCAAATTTTCATGTCGTAAGTTTGCACATAAATCAAGCTGACATTAATGAGGGATTTCTGTGCTTACCAAGGAAAGAATATGGCTTTGCTTGGGACTTGTTCTAACCTACTTCTGCACGGTATATCTATTCTGATTAAAACATTTTCCTAAATGTACAGGTAATATTCAGAAACAATAATAACATTATTAACAGAATAATACTGCTCCAATAACAGAAACATACTGCTCCAATAAAAAACAGCTCTTCTCAAGTTGAGTTCTGCGACAGCATCAGATACTAAACAAAATGACAGACTGAAAACACTAAAACCAATTATAGTTATATTATAACAATTTTTAATGAAGAGATAACATCAAGGCTAGCATTTTCAATTACAATGTTTGTTATTTGCACCAAGATGTTATAGAAGAGATATGTGCTTTTGCCAACCAAACATAAGAGATATTTATTTTTATTTACTGTAAATAAATATTTATAAGCAATATGATCTTCTATTTTCAACAAATGTTATTTTAATTTTATATTAAATATTTTCCAAAACCATGTTAGTGTCTTTTTGAAAACATAATTTTAACCAAACTGTTGCATATAACTGTTTTAGATGTTTGAGTTTTTTACATTATACAGTTACAAACTAACAAAGTATTTTTTTCTCAATTTTTAATGTGTGAGTAAGAATGATGGATCTGATTTTCCACTCTGTTAAACTAGTTTGATGAAACACATAGCTAAACACTAGCAAAGCACTTGTACAATGGAGTGGAAAATCATGCAAGTTACGAGGAGACTGAAAATCCACATTCAAGCTTCCTGTAGACTTTTAAACTTATAAACCTAAGATTTATATCATTAAAACCAAAGTACATGAATCTCAAAAAACTGAGGATAAAAACTTCAGAGTGATTTTAGCTTATCAAAATAGTCAGTTATTGACCCTCTTATGAAATTTTCACAAATATGTTCACAAAGCATAATGAACTATGTTAAAATAAAATTGTAAAGAACCTTGCAAGAAAAATGAAGCAAGGTAACATCAAACAAACAGCTGTTAAAAAGTAAAGGTACATAGTAAGCAAGTTGTTTATTAAATAGCATCCTCTTTCAAACTCTCTTCTGAATTTGATCATGTATTTTCCAACAGTCTCTGTCACAAAAATAAATAGAATACTGCCAAGAATTACTCTTCATTTTGCTTGGAAAATAAGGATATTTCCATTATTTCAATTTGAATATCCTTTTCTATTGCCTCTTTTTCCTCTTATTTTGAGCCTATGGACTAATATCTGGGAAGATATGTATCTTCACTCCTTTGTCCTGAAAATCTCTTCTATCTCTGCTTCTTTTGGAAATCTCTCCTAACTCTTACCACTGTCAGCAGGTGCAATTATACATCTAATACTGACCTCCTTTTTTGCGTAGAAGAGAATCCTGTGGTTGTTTTCTTTTTTCTCATCTAACTAAATATCTTTTAGCATGTCAAAAGGAAATTTAAAATATTCTTCTTCCACAAGAGCAACTGGCTATTTCACATCTTTGCTATCTACCATGCTTTTAGTTTGCTTTCCAGAATTCCATTAATCTCTATCCAAATGTTAGATTTCATATTCTCTTTCACATGGAGATGCATTTTCATCTATTTTTGCCTGGCTCCAAATACATATGAATGAGTCACTGATTTGGAAAATTTTAATATGTACTGTTAGAATATTAGAAGAAATTTTTTCTAATTTCTTATCCAAATCAATACCAATTTTTAAAAGAAGCATTTCTAATAAACAGATGTTCAAAACAAAAATTCATTGTAGTATCTGAAGCTTCCTATTTCTTTCCTCTTCTCATTGGCTGTGTCTAGACTGCAGGTTTTTTTTAAAAAAAGTAGCCTTTTTTTGAAAAAACTTCACCTGCGTCTAGACTACAGCCGCGTCCTTTCGAAATTAAATCGAAAGAACGTGGCTTTTCTTTCAATGGTGGTACTCCTCATTTCACGAGGAAGAACACCTTTTTTTGAAAGTGCTCTTTCGAAAAAAGGTGTTCTTGAATGCAAACAGGGCTTTTTCGAAAGAGAGCATCCAGACTGCCTGGGTGCTCTCTTTTGAAGAAGCGGCTTGCTTTTTCGAAAGTACTGCTTGCAGTCTAGATGCTCTTTTTCGAAAGAGGCTTTTTCTAAAGTATCTTTCGAAAAAGCCTCTTTCGAAAGAAGCATGCAGTCTAGACGTAGTCATTTTGAAAAAAACTCCTGATATAGTGGACTGTAAGGAAGACCTTGGAGACTATGGCCCACCACAGTCTCTGCAGGAGCCCTTGAAAACACTTCTAGATCTGTTTAAGGGAATACAGAGTCAGAATTTTCAGTTCCCTCTATTGGGAAAAGCTCAATATATCACATTTAAAAACATTTTAAAAAATACATGTAAAACATAGTGTTCCATAAGAAGATTTGAAATCAACTTCAATGTGTATAGGCTTAAGCTCTCTGGCTATGTCTACATTGCGCTCTCTTGTGCAATAATATATACAAATAAGGGGCGGCAATGCCGTGTCTCATTTGCATATTTAATAAGCCACCATTTTGTGCAAGGGGCTTTTGTGCAAGATGGAGCACAAGAGCCGTTCTGCCTGAAAATAAGATTTGCACCAGATCTGTGCTTCACTCTACATCTCACTTAATATCTCAAAACAAGACCTAACTGGGAAACATAAGAGAAATGTAGGCACAATGTGGGGCACCTTGCATAGGTGTGAATTTCATTCACAATTAAGAACATGCTAAAGTACAGCAGTGAAATTTACTTTATGATGGTTTTTAATATAGATTGAGCCAATGGAACGCCAAAAACTTAATGGTTTTTAAATGCGAAGACGTTAAATCCAACAAAACATCATAAAACCGTAGGACTGGAAGGGACATTGAGTCTTTTAGTCCACTCCTCTGCACTCAAGGCAGGACTAAGTATTATCCTAACAGGTTGTCCTTATTCCCATTTCTATAGATTGGCATTCTATTTGCATCTTTCCAGTCCTCTGTAATCTCTCCCATCTTCCCTGATTTTTGGAAGCTAATGGCTAAAATTTCCAATATCTCCTCAGTCAGTTCCTTTTGTGTTTCAGAATGTATTTCATAAGACCCTGAAGACATCTAATTTGTCTAAGTAATTTTCATTTTTTCTTTCCATATTTTAGCCTAAGATCCTAACTCATTTTCACAGGTGTTCTCCATGTTAGACATCCAATCTCTACTCAACTTTTGGGTGAAAACTGAAACAAAAGAGGCATTTAGTTATTTGCACATTTTCTGTGATGGTCCTTCCCCCCCAGTTTGTTAATGGTTCTATCCTATCTTTGGTTTCCTTCTTCTAATGTATTTAAAAATGTTTTCTTCTTACCGTTTTTGTCTTTAGCTAGTTTGATCTCCTTTTGTGCCTTGCCCTTTCTTATTTTATCCTTGCATGCAGGGGCGGCAAGTTTGTATAATTTTCGGTGGTGCCCAGAATGGGTCTAGTCCCCCCGCTTCCCTTCCCCACCTACCCACACGCCCTGTAAGCAGATATATATTTTATTAAATAATGTAAAAGTGGAAAGTCAGAAGCTGCACTTGCCCGCTTCAATATATTATATTGAATATTCAATATATATTGAAATATATCTATTTCACCCTTTTTTTATACTTGCACCCTTTTTTCCTGGGTTATCCACACAAACCCCATAATAGCATAAGCATGGAACAAACCCATTGTGGATTCCATTGTGCATTATATTATATTATATTATATTATATTATATTATATTATATTATATTATATTATATTATATTATATTATATTATATTATATTATATTATATATTATACCTGTTGTGACGAAGTGGGAAGGTTCTTAATGTTTTCTCTGATGGACACGTGACCAGAAGTAAAGTCCCCTCTCTAAGGACTTTTCCCATCATCCTCCTACCAATAGGGATTAGTTTGGCCCCCACCAAACCCCTTTCATGTAACCATCCTGCAATTGCATTAAACCACTGTGTGACATTTAACTCATTCACCTCTTCTTCCTGGTTAGGTGGGCTGTAATAAACTTCTGTCATATTGTTTTTAACCCTTTTATTCTTAGTCAGAGACTTTCCATTCCAATCTCAGTCCAATGATATACATCTTTCATTGTCCTTCCTGACCAAATAGTAACCTTTTATATCAATATTCCAGTCATGTGTATTATCCCATCAAGTCACTGTGATTCCAACTATGCCAAAGTTGTGTTTATTAACTAACATTTCTAATTCCATCATTTAACATTTTGCCTCTAGTATGTACTAGAACATTTACCCCACTTTGCTCAGTTCCTTAACTCATTTTTTTTTCTCTTTATTTAAACCATTGCTCTGAGGTTGGGCTATTGATGAGGGGTTCTGCATGCAGGGTCAACTGGGGAGAGAGGACTACCTCAGACCTCTCACATCTCAGCAGTTTGGGACCAGGTGAGAAGTGCCTCTCCATGGCCTCTGCAGCTCCAGCAGGCACAGCCAGGACAGGAATGCATGTCCCCGGGCTGGGAGCAGACAGACAGACAGACACACAAATACACAACAGACAAACTCTGAAATATTCTAGTACAGGTTGAACCTCTCTTAACTGGAACTCCCTGGTCTGGCAATATCCATGGACCAGAGAGTCCCATGGACCAGAGAGTCCCATGGAGGGCTGGTGGCTGGGAGCCCTGCAGCAGGGCTGGAGCCCAGTTGTAGGGCTGCCTGCAGCAGAGAAACCAGGATCCTGGCACTGTGACCCAGTGGCGACGCTGCAGGGGGACAAGAAGGCAGCAGGGTGATCTGGCGGTGGGATCGGGAGCCAGCAGCGTGGCCACCCAGAAGTACAACCAGCAGCCTGGCAGCCCTGCTACCATCCAGTGGTGCAGCTGCATATCAGAACTGGGAGGCAGCAGAGCTGCGGGCAATGGGGCCAGAAACTCAGAAGTGGGGCTGTCCAGTGTTGAAGCAAAGATCCTGGAAGCCCTGCTACCACTTGACAGAGCTGCTTGGTGAGGCCGGGAGGCAGCAAGGCTGCCCAGTGAGGCTGAATCCCAAACAAGGTTGCCGCTCAGCAGCGCAATTGAACCCTAGCAGAGTGGCTGCCTCATGGGGCCAGGAGCCAGGCAGTGGGGCTGTGCGTGCGGTGGCAGGGCTTCCAAGGTGGGGCCAGTAGCACTGCATGTGGAGGTGCTAGCAGTGAGGGGCTGAGAGAATGGCTGGGATGCTGGCAGCCAGGCCATGGCTGGGAGATTCAGTAAGAGGGCAGAAATGACCTTCCCTGATCCAGCAAAGTCCCTCATCCAAGTGAGGTTATGTCCCAAGGGTCATGGGTCAGGGAAGTCCATCCTGTAGGCAGTTCTCCCTTTCACCAGCCCTGCTCCCTGTTGCTCCAAAGGAGTTATAGATGTCCCAGTCCCCATCTCTGGCCCTTTGGTCATTATACAGTATAAATGTCCCTGTTTTCCATCCCATAACACCTGCTGTCATCCCCCTTCCTCCCCCCCCCCAA